AATGTGAGATAAAAGGTATAATAAAATCAACACTCATACCCACACCCACAAGACTTTTAGAATAGCTTTAAAATAAAAATAGTATATTTGTATTGTTTATTCCCATGTGTTAATAAGGGTAGTGTGATGAAAGATGTCTCTCAGATGTTATTGATAGCATATTATATGTGAGTGGTAATCTTCACGGATGTTTTTGCCGCTCATTACTCTGTCGAGTAGGACAGAACGCAGCAGAATGTTTCATTTGAACGTTCCTTGAATTAAAACAAATGGAACAAATATGAAGTCGTGAACACTTTTTCAGTGTCCTACATCGCTTGAAATGGCTATTGTATTTGCGACAGATTTGTTTCTGTTCTTGTGTCTTGTTAACAGTGATTGTCGGTTGAATACTCACGAAATGTTTGTTCCACAGAGAGGAAAAGTCAGAAAATAAGTTTAGATTAGGCATTTCGGTCACATGATGGCGAATATCTTTTTCGTAGGCCAATATAAGTTTGATTGAATACGAATCTCTGTAGAGCTTAGAGATGTGCTCGAAATGTGCGTCAAGTTCAGGACCTCGATGCTTGAATATATAAAGAACTGCCTTTCGGAAAGACATAAATGCAACAGTCCAATCAGCAAACGACTCAATTACCTTTCTGTTGCGTTGAAAAACGTTTGGTATGTTTTCAGGCAAATAGTCGTCTAGAACGACATCATCACTATTGACTAATGTTTCCCATTGATAAATACTACCAATCTTAGGCTTAGTTATATCAGCAACAAGTCGAGCCATGAGTGTGTCTTTTTCTTCTACCCACTTGCGACGAATCCGTGCGGTCTCAGCAGCTATTTCATCTTGTCCTAATGTCATGCTGTTAATTTCTAGACTAGCGCAATGATCGAATGGCAGTTCTTCTGCCGGTGTTGTTGTTCGTGGTGTTGATAATGATGGTAGAGGTTGTCCGTTATCGGCTGTATATGCAGCTGTAGAAGTTGTTTGCGAGGGTGATTCGGAAAAGTAAATAGAAAAATCTTCATCCATGAGCGCACTAGCTTCGTCAGATGAAAGATAAGTAAACGTTGCTGCGTCGATATTTGATTCCATTAGTTCTGAAGAAAAAATTGATATATATTACATTATTTTATATAAACATTATACTCTTCAGCTAAAGAGTACAAGATCATGGCCTTGCAGTACGGTCAATTTTGGAATAGCTTTTATTGCAAAAGTATTATTTTTGCGGAATAACATGCTATGTATGTTATAATACGAATCTATTTCTAAGAAACAGTGCAGAAACGATACTACTACATAGTTATTAAATGAAGTTTTTAAAAACTTTTTTGACTAATTATAGACCATAATTTCTATTCTTTGTAAGATCTTTTTATATTGAGCTGATGATAGGCATTAGAAATAGTAAGTGACTTCTATCTAATGAATCAATTTTAGTCGTTAATTTGATCGAATAATTTTTTAAATTGTTATGCTTTAAAGTGGCACTTCTGGTTTGTTTGTAGGATGTATAAACTATTAGTCCTTTAATCTTTCTTGTCAGAGAAAATAGTCTCATATGTGCGCAAAGGTTTTTTTGTCACACAATTTTGTACACGAATATTTTCTTTGTTTTTGCGTGCCCTGTATCATGAAAGGAATCAACCAACTTCAAATTTATATTTTTATTATCATTAATTCTCGTTATGTTAACAAAAACTCACTCCATTCTGTTAAAACATAAGGATAAAATAAATATGGAGTGAAGATATTCTGAGAGACGACACACAGTTGTCTTCTTTTTATAATATCCAGAATAAAGCTCAATAACACCTAAACTTTAAATAGACCATTGGATTCTCCATCGACGGCAGTATCTAATAATTTAAAAGAATTTGTAGAGTCGCTAGAAACTTATTGGAACTTGTAATTGGTTAGAACGCGCGTGTTTTTCTACAACAGAAATTGGTATATTTCAGGAAATATTCTTTTAGCCAAACAAATGACTGTCTTCGCGAATCTCAGGTGCATAATTATCATGGCGACAAAGTGCGACTACTTAGCTGTTGCAGCTAAAATGTACGTCGAAAAATAAGCTTTAGCATTATATTCCTTTTTGCTAGATCTAGAGGACTGACGGACTTCGATCAAAATCTAATAGAGCGTCTCACAGTAAAATTTCATACAGAAAAGCTTGTTGTTTTGCGTCAACATATCTACATTGCCATTCTGAATCATTCTAGATGGTTGGCTTCGAGAAGTAAGCCTATATAAAAGTAATTCCTATTAGATGACTAAGGATCCGAAACGAATGTTAGATCGAGGGTTTTATTGTTGTGAATCTGATAAACGAACGCTCATTACAGGGGCTCTAACATTTCTAGTACCATTTTTTCTGTAAATGAGAGAAACTTATTTGCAATGAAAACAAGCGTTAGAGAACAGGCCTCATAAGACAAACCTAAATTTAATATTGGCTGTTGGCCTGAGGTCATCAGGATGCGTTCCAATTGAAGAAGTTGACTATTCAAATGAGTTTGCGTATATGTTAACACGTTTTCCTTCGTAAAAGGATCCATGTATAGCTCGACAGGATTGCCTACTTGTTGGCACAAACACGAACGAACGCTCCGTCCAAATGGAATCCATGAAGGTAATGCAAAATTGATAGATTCAGTCACGTTGAAGCCTCCATCGAAACCCCAATTATACGCTCGAGGAAAGATAACGATTATTTCATTTGGACATTGTTCGATTCGATAAACGGGAATATTGTGCAATTGAGCAAGTTCAACTGGATTTGGAAAGAGAGTTTTGTGTTGCAGAGATGCCTGACAATGGGATGTGTCAAGAGTATCAACGTCTCGGAGACATTGTTCTAGTTGATCCGCATGTGAAGAAGGTACAATATACCAGAACTTAGATGATCCTTCATGCATGTAATTCATTGAAAAGAGATCACGTTCTTCTGTATGTAGAGCAAATATTGAACTGTACATCCCAACATGAAGAAATGGTGATGTAATGCCTGTGAAAAAGTATGAAAGACTTGATTATTTATTAAGTTTCTATGCTATTATCATCACTGATGTTAAAGAACAAGACTATTGTGCCAATAATAAATGCACTTCTCATCTGTCCTATGATGTACTCGCTTGCCTCACAATGAATACTACATTAGAATCTTTACGCAAAGTAACAGATACAGTTGGAGATATAAATTAGTCGAATTAACATTATAATTTATGGCACAGACACGTATGTCTCTCTTTTTAGCATAAAATAGGTCTAAAAGTAACTCTTGGAAAAAATTAAATGTCTCCGTCGTATTCTGACCAAGCATACGATTATATCGAATTTTTGACTTTAATAAAGACCTGAAAGTTTCCAAAAGTAATATAAATGTACAATCCATATTGTAGCATAATAAAAATCATATCTTCTAAGAGATTACCAAATTCTATTGCTCGAAACGTTCTGAAAATATCATTCAAATGGTCAGTATATATACTTTCGTCCGTTATTTGAAATATTTAAAAAAATTAGGATATTTAATTGACACTTACGTATTCCAATTGCTTATATATATAGATCATACAATGTTCCGACTGTCATTTTATACATATCTTTCTTTGACGCTGTATATATTCTTCTGAGACATTCGCTTTTCTTTCTGTGATTTTAAAATCACGCCATAGGTTTCTTGTCTACCTCTGACATGTTGTTTCATTTTTGCTCCAAATCACTTAACTCAGAAAGAATTATCATACTTGAATGGCTTGATTTCGAGAGCTAAGTGTGTCTGTTCCGGCGCTGATCTAATAAATCTTTGAAGATCTCCTTCAGACAAGAAGTGTAAATAAGTATCGCCACAATCTGCTGTTTAGTTGAAGGACTGAATGCATTTACCTACCAACGGAAGAGAAAGGAAATGTGCTTACTCTAGCACAAAAGAAGTACAAGTTCGATCAAACATCGAATGGGCTTCATGTAAAATGTTTCTGTGAATATTATAAAGTTTTTATGAGAATATTTTGAATGAGAATCAATAAACTAATAAAAGGAGGCAATTTTGGATAGAAAAAAAACTCCGCCTTGAACGGATTAATTACCTTTAATGCGTTGAGTAGTCAGCGACAGTAGAGATTTCAGTGAGATATCAGTCAGATTGAAGCTCGTTTCGGATGGTGTAAAAAGACTATAATCAATGTTGATGGCAGATCGAATAGTGCGTTTGGCGATATCATCCGAATTAAGCATTTCCCACATGTTAGATTCAATATCGGTGACTTCGAAAGGAACCCGATTCTGCGGACGTTGTGCGTATTCGACGAATGCCTTGAATTGGATTCCTCGTCGTTCGTTTAGGCTTTTGCGTTGGGTATTAGTGACGCGAAAAACGAGTGGTGATAGCTTAATAATACTTTGCCGACTGATCGAAGGTGCATGATCGATCGATGACAAAGAGAGCGTTTTCACTTTTGCCCATTCTCGAGGCGGAATAATTTTGCATCCGCCATACGGAGATATCAATGCTTCATTATCGTATATGTATTTGAGGAGATGTGTAAATTCAATTATGGTAGGTGTCAGTTTTGGAATAAATGATATATCTGATGCTGAATTCATTTAATCTACACTTACCATCTGCTTCGAATAGGATCAACAACTTTTTTTATCAGGATATAAATAAACGAATTTGTCAGTTAGTTTTATAGAGGCTGTCAGATATGATAAAATTATTGTGGCTAAAATGTAAAAATGAAAAAGTAATGGTTGAGTTGGCTTGCTTGTATTAGTATAGAAATACGAATGTATAGGTAACGATAATTTGGTCGGTTATTGCATCCTTTTTTCTTTTTATCTCTTTGGTAGACTCGATGCAAAATTTTCTTTTTCTTCTTTTATTTCTTCTTTTGTACAGTGCTTCATTCAGGTAGACAAGCAATACAAAACCACGCACATAAACATACAAAAATAATGCATTTTTGGTTGGTAATCGTTATTCGCGATGGTTAGTCGAAACTGTGAAAAATAGAAGACATGAAAGCAATCGGTTTCTTTCATAACTATTTATTATTTTTAAATAAACTCAAGTCGACGAAATGACTATAAGAATCAGTGAGATTTTATGTGCAAGAAACAAAACAAAGAAATATTTTTTTAGTTATTTTTTATTCTAAGATAAAACTAAACACATGTATATACAAATACTGGTTGAACAATTGTAGAGGAAAGGAAGAGAAACAAAGGGAAAAAGGCAATAATAAATAATTTTGTTAGTAATAAATAATCGTATAATACACGAAGCCTTTCAAATTTCTTTTCAAGCGATCTGTGAGAGTTTTTGTAAATGTTATTACAAAATGATATTAATCTAGAAGCATATTCTCACATATGATACTAATGCTAAACAATATTATAAATCTTAATATTAATGCAACATAATATTAATAATCATGATATTAAGGAGTGTGGACGTAGGTTTACGTATTGCTACCACCTCACACCCACACACACACATTAGCGGACAAGCTTGCCTGAAAAAATCTGGATCTTATCATAATATTCTTATAAATAGAATCTAGGCTCGCTCTTTTTTCTCTCGAATCTAACGCGTTCGTTAGAAGAAAAAAAGAACATTACAGATATATTATAAAATCCATTTTGTTCACATTTAGCGTCTAGAACAACTGATAATTCATTTGTCATCAAATTATTGTGTTTTAAAAGCTAAAACCATCCACCATCTGGCATACTAACATGAAACAACAAGTGTATTTTCATTATTAAATATTTTTACTTACATTACTATGACATGCGACTCTTAATCGTTGCTTGAAACGAATATGTTTTATTCATTTAACCGAAGGCTATTATAATCTTTAGTTATTCTCGACTAAAAATGAATACATAACATACAAATGTTGATTTATATACATATATGCTAAGACGTTACGTGTCGTTCATCTTAAGAATTAGGCAAAAAGATTCTTTCACTATGAATTTCATCATTTTTTAATATCGAAAATTGTTAAAATAAAACTCATATATAAAATTTAATTTGGTGATACTTACAATGTTTATTTTCAGTAAAGAGAAACATATCAGATTCATATTTAAAATCTTACTATATCTTATATATATTTGAGAAAAGTTATTTGCTCTTTGATCGAAAATTATCTTTCGTTCTATTTCTAATTGATTATCTATTTTCTTTCAGTTGTACCCGCTCATATATCAGTTTTAAATGCATCATAAATCCTTCATTAAAATTCGAGCAGGAAGAGCTTCTGTACAAAGATTATTAATTTCAAATTTCTTTGCAGTCAGCGATATAATCTGATACAAATATGTTTGAATAAACGACTAGATCTACTTTCTTTTTCTTCAAAGCATACAAGTTTATCGACAAAAAAAATATACTAATGATAGACTTATCCCAATCTAGAAGTCAAGCTTTCTTTATCCCTTGATGATTTTGACTATTTTTAAGCTAATCTTATTTCTATTATGATTAAATTATACTTCACAGTTCTATCAAATGGAACAAAACTTCTACTTTTCATCTATTATGTCGATACTCTTGTAGTATCTGTTAAGAATGAAGAAAAGGACATTGCACGTTTAAGAAACACACTTACACTTACATTCTCAAAGATCAATAATAAAAAAGAGATTAATTATGATTCAAATAAAATATTTAGAAATTGTTTCATTAGATAATAAATAATGAAATAAATCGATAAACATTCTTTTAAATATAAAATACAATTGAAAAATATACTGAAATGTAATTTGTTATTAACGAAAAACAAATATGAATGAATATTTAGTTATAAATTAATAATATTTTTAATTTAATTTAGTTTTCTCTTAGCTTCTTTTTAATAACATTACGTATTTCATCTTGATCATAACAATAATAACAATTTAATAATAATAATATTAACAATAAATAAAATAATATACGTGATGATAATTTTGTTTATAATAACAATAGAATTTAATTTAATTTAAATAAAATATTATTTCTATCAATATTCATTTTGAAAAAATTTCGTCAAATGTATTCTTATCTATGAATAGATTATTTTAAATGAAACAGTCTTAAAAAATTTCGCATTGTAGTATCTATCGACTAATTTATTAGGATAAAATCATTTATAAACAATGTCGAAAGATTCTTCTTAACAAAAATGTGAGTTTATAAACGAACATAAATTTAAAGAAGGAGTTTTATAGTCATAGTTCAATTTCAGGAAAATATTTTTAAATCAAACAAATCTCGAAAGCGTACTATGCTATGTTGATATTTGGATGCACTGACAATATCAGCCTATCCCTGATCAACACGTAGGACTTTTTCGAAATAAAAAGAGAAAACAACATCGGTCACAGATTAATTCTTATATTTCTATAGTATTCTATCAAAATGGATCAGTAAATTCGATATAAATTTTTCATATCTAAAAAACATTCAGTATTCTGTTTAGTTGTCAAATTCAAAAAATAGATGTAAAAATGAAGGTGATGATTATGGTGAATGTGTAAGTAGTCGATGGATTTATTATTTTTCTTTTCATGCCAATCGTCATCGTATACAATTGTTGCATAAACATTTTAACAATATCCATATTTACTTATGACACTTTTTCTCATCGTTATTATTTCAGTATAGATGAAATCAGTTGATGATACTTATAGTTACATATAATACTACATTTTTCTAAAAAAAATATATGTTAGAATTGAAAGTATAATGATCTATTGTAGATTTCATTGTCTTTATATTTATTTCATGATTGAATAAGTATCGTTAACGGCAATGCTCTACTTGATGATATAACATTTGACACGCTGTTTTTATTCTAATCAGATCAAACTATAAATAATGTTAAATCGAATAAAATTACATAACCTTTTAATCAATCTTTCTATTGAAAACATTGAAAATGAAAAATTTCAATAAAGGATAGATTTATGAATTGAACTCTCATTCGTAAATATATTGTTGAATAGCGCCACCTGTTGAACATTATTGATTATTACATAAAAGTAACCAACTGAATTGATACTCGAACTCATTCTTTGTTTCACTAGTCATCCCATCGCAACAATAGTTTTTTTCTATAAGAAAATAAATCATCTGAATCATAATATAGTAAATATCATCCAGTATAAGTACATCTCCAAGCATGATAATTGCTTAACATTTAAATATTGTTGATAGGCAACGTCATTGAATTATTATTAACATTATATAATTTAAGATCATATTTCTTATTTTGAAAAGAATCTACATACTATTTTTCATTGTAGAGTTTTGTAGGTGGTTAAAAGAAAATCTGATATTTAAATAAAACATTCCATTATGAGCATTTCTGGTAATGATATTAAGATATGTATGTATTCATTTTTTCTACATTATACTTTCATATTATTATCTTAATTCAATTTTTTCAGCATCGTTTCCCGTTGGTGAAGCAGGTACGAATGTAACAACTGTTATATTTGGTCATCGATCGGGTAAATTATTGGCAACAGGCAGTGAAGATCATAGTATTCATATTTATGTAATTGGTCAAACAACATCATTGCTTGTAAGTGTTAATTTAGATTTTTCTTTGAAAATGTTTGTTTTGAATGTTTATTTAGACATCACAATGTCAAAAAAGTGCTATAACAGCATTAAGATTTTCTAATGAAGAAAATTTATTAGCATCAGGTAGTCGATCCGGTGCAGTACAAATTTGTGATCTTGAAAGTCAAAAAGGTAAGATAATTATTTGACATTATTCAATACCAAATAATTATTTTTTTCAGTTATTCATCCTGGTGGTCATAAAACATGTATTCGTGCTATTGAATATTTCCCATCAAGTAATAATTTCTTAGCAACAGCTGCTGTTGATGGAACAGCAAAGGTTTGTTAGGAGAAGAAAAAAAGAATTCTATTTGTTAAATTTTATCTTTAGCTTTGGGATCCAAGACGAAAAGGTTTTATATTCAATTATAAAGGACATAATGGTGCTATAAATGCACTTAAATTTTCTCCGGATGGTCGATATTTAATAACTGCTTCTGATGATACAGCTATTCAAGTAAATTAATGATTTATTTATATATAAAAAAAATATACTTATTAAAACTAGATGTGGGATGTTACAGCTGGTAAATTAATAAAATCTTTTCAAGAACATCAAGGACCTGTATATACAATTGAATATCATCCAAAAGAACTCTTACTTGCATCAGGTGGTGCTGATAGGTAAATTTTCTTTCTTATTCATTAATAAAAATATAAATGAGAATTATTTTATTTAGACGAGTTAAATTTTGGGATCTTGAAAAACTTCAATTTGTTAATGAAACAGAAATTGAAACATCAGCTATCAAGTAAGAAATTATAAAATTATTTTAAAAATAATAAAATTTCTTTTAGATGTTTACAGTTTGAACCAACAAATGCTAGTTATTTACTATCCGGATCAAATGATATGTTACGTGCTTATAATTATGAACCTGTTCAATTACTTGATACAGTTCAAATTAATTGGAAAAATGTTCTTGATATGACGATACATAAAGATCAACTTGTATATATTTTAATAAAATTGATTTCTTTCTTTTTATAGATTTTATTTTTTAGTATGGAGCATCTATTTCACAAAATAATGTTCATATTGGCTCAATTTATCTTCGAGTATATTTTATATAATTAAAAAATATAATATAAAAGAATAAATTTTATTAGAATTTAAAAACTAAACGACGTATATCACCAGTTCGTGATTATTATCCAAGCGATCCGAAAGCAACATCAGTTGCAACGGGTACAATTATTGGACGACGAAGTCAATATCAACCAATGACTGTTAAAGATGAACATGTCAAGTAATAATATATGTCTCGATAGGATTCATATACTATATAAAAGTTTCTATTAGACTTCAACCAGAACCAGCTAATATTAGTGGTAGTGATGAACCAAAATCAGCAGGTGCAGATAGTGTAATGATTGATAATCAAGCGGATTATGAACGAATATTTCGTGGTAAAGCACGTTTACCACGTTCACCTAGTCATCAAGGAAGTTCAACACAATCAAAAGGTCCTTCGTTATCATCAGCTGGATTTAATATACCAACACCATCATCAACAGAAATCTCATCAACTCCTGCTTCTGTAGTACCTAAGCAAAAAGTTTCTCAATCTATTTCTCCACCACCTCAAGTAACGTCTATTCGTTATTTTAAATATTTCCAAATAAACAATTCTTTGTTACAAAAAAGGTTGATGTACTGATGCCTCAAATTCAAATGCCAAGTTCATCAATAATTTCACCTGAACCAGTAAGATAAATATGATAATTTTATTCTTTCTATTTATTTTACTTTTAGCCTCGAACAAATGAACAGATCTTTGCTAATTTAAGTAGAGGCAATAAAACAATACTTGCTGTGCAACAACAACGTACAAGTAATTTATCATTATTAGTGGAATTATCTCGCAATAGTAATCCACAAGTAATTATTGAATAGATAAATCATAATATGTATATTTTAATTTTTATCGATTTTCTATTTTAGACAAGTTTTAAAGCAGCTACTGCTTCTCAAGATCTTTCACTCGAATGTTTCTTATTACGTTTTGTTATTGAAAAATTATCAAAGTAAATATTATTTTCAATTAATTTATATAATCTATTTTTATTATTTAGACGTGATTGGAATCTTGAAATCTGTATATTAATTTTACCAGCTGTACGTGATTTAATTAAATCTCATTATCATTGGTAAAAATTTTTGAATCAAAAAAAAATTTTTTTGTAGATTTATATTTTAGGTATAATTTAACTGCTTGTCAAGGACTTGAACGAATACTTGGAGATTTTGGAAAAGTTATTTATGATAATGTTGGAGCTAAATCAATTGGTGTAGATCTTAGTCAACAAGCGCGGTATTTTATTTAATATTTTTATTCATATATAAGAGATATATTTTAGACGTGAAAAATGTGAATCATGTCATCATATATTACATGAAATTCGATGTTTACTTGAAGATCGACTAAAAAATGTTTCAGATTCATCAGTACGACAAGCATTTGGTGACAATTTAGCATTATTAAATGCTCTTGAACGTTCCTAAACAGATACATTTTGTTTTTTCTTTATTATTATTATTATTATTATTATTTATCCGTCACTTTTTTTTTGCTTTTTTGTCCATGCAGATACGACCCAATTCTTATATTTCACGTGCTGTGATACATAATCACCTTTATTCTATTTCGTTTTTTTCTTCTTCCTGAACAAATGACACATACAGATTATGTCTTTTTTTTGCTTCTTCTTCTTCTTCTTTTGTGGTGTTGCACATCTTTATATATATATAAGATAACACCATATGTATGAATTTTGTTTTTCTTTTGGATAAATTAAAAGATGCAATTGTGCGGATGTTTACCGGTTGGAAATGGAACTCGAAATGAAGATAAACAAGCCAATATAAAACAATCGAAAAAAAGACTTTCTCTTAAAAATGGTATGTTGATAAATATGATATTTCAGATTTAGAATTCGTTTTTTCTTATAGATATACCAACGAATAGTAATGCTTCAATAGCCGAAATAAAGTAGGATTAGAATTATTTTATGAAAGATTAAATTTAAACTTTTCTTTAAGAGTTCGAAAAGAACGTACGAAATCCAATACAAGTACAATGACTGAATCAGGCACAAAACGATAGTATGTATTTTAAATGATCAAATTAAATTAAATTCTTAGTTCATATATCTAGTTATCTATATTTATTCGAAATACGTAAGCAATTTTTTTGATAGCTGGCTTTGTGTTTTGTGCAATAGAATTCTTCTTGCTTTATTATATTGAGATTGATTTATTTTGAAATTTAATTTAGTACACTCAAAAAACAATCATCATCAACATCAGTTAATAAAGCTGCTCTTGCTGATGCTCGTCTTTCAAAACATGATGTTTCCGAAAGACGTTTACCGTAAGAAATCTATTCTTTGAAAAAAAAAAGAACATTTATTTTATTCAGTACATATGGTAATGAAAGTGAAAATGAACAACGAAATTTTCTTAAATTAAATAAAGAAAAACGTCGGTAAGTAAAATTTTGTTTTTCGATATAAATTATTTATAAATATATTTATTTAGATCTGTTCATGAATTACAATTTCATCAATCTAATTTTAGTGAAAATAAACGTGCTAAGTAAGACTAATAATAATCAGAATGAAACATTTTCTATTGTTATTATTTTAGAAGTTCACCTGATGTAAATCAATTTATAGGAGCAAATACATCACATGAAACAACAACCTGTGATGAAATTGATAATCCTGATAATTCAAGACATAAAAGAGCAGCTGTTCGTCGTCGCAAGTATGTTTATTTAAAGTATTTGAAAATAAAAATTATTTTATTAAAATTAAGACGAAGTAAATCTCCTCGAAAACAAATGCCATCAGAAATTTTAGATGCAATCAAGTATATATATATATATAAATCAATATCTTCGAATATAGTCTTTTGCCTTGTTTTTTAGATTTGAGCTTGTAGAACCTGTTGGTTTAGATGAAAATCAGCTCAAAGATATTCCTTATGAAAACATAAAGTAAGAATAAATGTAAACTATAATTCAAATATTTGTTTTTATTTGAAGAACAACATCTCAACCATTTCGAATTAGTCTTTCACCCCATTCAGCTCGTCGACGACGTTCATCGCCATTTAATCGTGCTGGGTAAATGAATTCCAACTATAAAAAAACATTCAATAAATATTTTCGTTTATTTCAGTGATGTAGTTCATAATGCATCAAGTAATATGTTACCTTATCGAACTCAACCTGCTATTGTTTCTGTTGCTCAAGTTAAATCAACAGTAAGAAGAATTTCTATTTAATTTTATAATTTTCCTTTGTTCTTTTAGAAAATTATTAGTATTACTCGAACAACAGAAAATTGTATGTATATTAATAAAACAAAACAAAAAAGATAATTCTTTTCTTTTTTTTTCATTTAGAAAAACTAGATAATCAATAGAAGTCAGTTATTGTTTAGAATATTCGTTCATGTTTTTCTCATTAGACGTTTCTTTTCTTATATTGAACGAGATTTTTGTTATTATTTTTTCCTCTGATTTCTTTTGTTGTACAATCTTAATCTATCTGGTTATTACTATTTTTTTTGTGATTTATTTGTCAGATAATTGAAATACAATAAATTAAATTGTTGACTGGAATAATATATTGGTTAATTTTTACAATAGCAAGGATTTTATCGATTGTCGATCGAAGAAAACGAAAGAAGGATTCACAATGTACCCAAGGACAGATTCATACTATATTATATTTTTACGCTCTGAATAATTGAGGAAGTAGACTATTGTTTGCATTAAATAAAAAAGGAAAGAAATGATTGTCAATCATGTTTTCTAAAAAAATATCTATATATTGATCGAACAGCAATCTAAATAATAGATAAAAAATTGTTCGATTACGATCAGATTTATCTAATCCTTGGAGACTAAATAGATTTTTATTCGTAATACAAATTAATTATTTTTCTAGGATGATCACAAAACGATAGAGGTTGAATCATTTGATTGATCGTTAATTTTATTCAATCATTGATAAAATGTGTTAATTGAGATTTAATTTATCATAACTTTTCGTATTAATTCTTTCATAATTGTTAAGTTAATTTTATGCATTATTTACGTATCATTTAATTTACTTTTGTCAGTTAGATTTAACAGATTGTATCAACGCTTTTCTACATTAAACTTCGATAAGAAGCATGTACTTGAACTCTTGAGAATTGCAGAACAGAAAAACTTATCATCACTTATTTATTAATTGCTCTTGAAAAAAGATATCACTTTAGCAGATCTAAATCACGTATGAAACTTTTTCATAAATAAAAAAAATATTCAATTGTGATTGACTAAAATAATCTCTTTCAAATGATCTTAATATAATTATTCTTATAGTATGTACAATACTTATATACGTATTATCTATTTTGAAAAAAAAAGACTGATGCGCGCACAACGATTTATCTTTACATATATGAATTCAATCAAAAAATGGAATGTTGCCCTGATTCAATCGATAGTCATCAATATACATATACAGACAAACAAGAAGAAGAAGAATAGTTAACCAACTGCATTCTTCTTTTATGATCGCCACAACAAACCGTGCGTATTAAAGAAAGATACCGGTGATACGATCGTCACAAAACATACATACAATGATTCATATCTCGCTTTTCTTCTTCTTCTTCTTCTTCTTCTAGATGTGCTATGCTTACGGGCTTGATTTAAAGAGAATAGAATTCCCAAACTAAATCAGTGTTGCACCAATGACTCACTGAAGGCCTTTTTTAAAATCGGGTTTCCGGAGATGTATTGCATCACTGTATGGTGTGTATGTCTTTAATCACTTAGTACACTGACTTGTCTCTTCTTCTTCTTTTTTTCATGTCTTCTATCATCATTTCTGATTATCGATCACCAGAGATCACACCCACTCTAACTTCGTTTAATTGCTATTCGTCTTCCTCTTCTTCTATTCCATTTTAGATGCCATCAAACATTGTTCAAACGTCCCTCCTGTGTGTTTATCGAAACCATCAGTCACTGTCGCATTCAATTGACGCGCGTCGAGATGGTTGATCTGAGAACAATTTATCGGCAAATATTGAACAACTAAGAAAATGCAATTGTTCTTGTTCTCGCATCGAATTAAAGACAGCAATAGTATGTGTGTGTGTGCTTGGAGAGGTAGAACAGAATAAAAAAAAAAAAAGAAAGAAAAAAAAGAAGACGAGCAGTTGTCTCTCTTTTCTGTTGTTGAACGTGTATATAGGACCAAACTGATAGTCGCCTTTGCTGTCTTATTGCTCACACGCACATATATATATATATATATAAATACACACAAATAGAGTCGTGTTATGAAGACAATGAAGTGAGTAGACCAACACAGTATAAGTGAGCGAGAACAATTGTTACGCACGAAAGTATAACAGTAAAGAAGAACTACATTGTCATCAGAACGGCACACTTCTTCATCATTTCTTATTCACACGCCATTTTGCAGCCTATATATATATATATATATATAAATGCCTGAGGTCTGGAATGCGACATACTTCTTCATTAATTCGATCGTCTTATTATGTGTCTTCCTCCCTTTTTTCTCTATTTCTCTTATTCTTGCTCTTTTATTTATGTACAGTTAGATGATAATGTGGATAACTCATTATTATTAGACGAACCGTTTCACAGTCGTCGTTTTGGACGAATGGATTGGTTTTTATGGTATTATTATTACTTTTTTACTAGCACATTCTTTGTCACCATTATTGCTAATACGGATTATATACATACAGTTGATGCTCAACAAGATGAACGTATTCGACTTGAATGTACAGTGACATCGAAATTAGATGCTGAAGAGGTATGTGTCGACTATTGTTTTATTCGCATAAATGATTTGTAGTTACATTGAAGGTGAATTAACCTTATAGACATTTACTCATACTAATTATTAATGGTTCAATAAATTGATGTCTTTCTTTTTTTGTGTCTTTTCAAGGCTATGTGGATGCGTATTCGACCACCTCACAATCCTGACATATTAACTTATCGAGATAGTGTTGTTTATGCACCAGAACGTATACAACTTGAACAACGTCGTCTTAGTTCAAGTATAAATGCCAATGGAACATTCATCGACACATATTTTTTAACATTAACTCTTTTGCGACCTAATATTGATGATGAAGGACGATATGTTTGTTCAAGAGGAAGAACTATTTTTGCCGAATATGATCTTTTTATTATAGGTAGATAAAAAAAAGATAATTAATCGATAATCTATCTTTTTCTTTAATATAGTTCCATCACAATTTGTTGATGATAATAGTTATACTCAACAACGAACTATTATTGAAGGGTCAACTCTTCAACTTTCTTGTTCAGCAAATGGTCGACCGAAACCTTTCATAACATGGTCTTATCGTACAATTGATGGCAAACATATTTCATGTAAATAGAAAAAAAAATATTTAGTTTTTTGAGTGATAGAGGTGTAAATCGAACAAGACTATTTCTTTTATCTTTATTTCCGTTGTTGTTTAGTAAAAAAAAAAAGACATGACATGTCAATGTCGTAAATCTCTCCTGTGTCTTCAAACATTTCCCGCGTTCGAGTTGACCGATCCTGCCTTTCTTTCTTTCTTTCATTTACGTAATCTTCAACTGATTTAAGCAAAAAAAAAAAAAAGAACAAGTGCGTGTGTTTTCTTTTTTACATATTATACTCATATATAAATGGAATCGTTATTGATTTAATTTGTCAGATGAAGATTGATTAATACTGTATAATGATAGATTATGTCAATGACATAGACAAAGAAGCTTTTCTTTTGATTCTAGTGGGTGATGGTAGTGGCTGCCAAGATCCTGTATGTGAATTACGTTTAGGAAATTATACACGATATAATCCAACTACAATTGAATGTGTTGCTGATAATAGGAAATCAACGAGAATATCAAAAGTATTTCATGTCGATGTCTATTGTAAGTTAAAACAAAAAAAGGAGAAAAAGAGCTTTTCTATTTGATTTATATTTTTAGATCCACCAAAATTAGTACCGGATGTTCAAACATTTATAGGTTCAAATAATATTGATGTTTTTCTTCAATGTGCATCAGTATCAAATCCACCAGCACCAGTTATTTGGCTTGATGATAATAAACAAAGAATTGATAATTCTGATAGATATAATGTTAAAATAATGCATAACTCATCAACATTATCTTTTTCTATAGTATGTTATTATATTTATATTAGTCGAAAAAAAAAATATTTTGAGTATTTCTTTTAGCATCCACAAGAACAATCACCTGTTGTTTTTTATTGTCAGAGTAATAATACAGTTGGTTTAGATGAAAAATTAATAAATATTTCAGGTATTTCAATTATTTGTTTTTTTTAATTCATTTAAAATATTCCATTTAGATTTTATTCAATTGGATACAATAATTATTCGTGAAACAACAACCATCACACCATCAACATCAATAATAGATTATGATAAATTTTCATTAAAAAAGCAGAAAACTTGTAATATAAATTCTTTTCTTTTATTTCTATTTTGATTATTTTCTTTTAGTAAGACCAAGTCGTGCTCGTTCGCGTTCTTCGACTACACCGATTCTTTTTCCTACTACAGCAATATCATCAACGAACAGTTTAATCTATTCTTTATCAAATAATCTTCTTAATTTAATTCTAATACTATTCGTCATTTGTTTTGTATAAAATTTTCTTTTTTTTTTTAAGTCTTGATATTTAATGCGTGTTTTATAACTCTTACAATAACTGAATTATATATAAAAAATAAAGAACAAACTAAATACAACTAGAAAAGAAAAAAAAAATTCTTTTTTTTTGCATATAAAAACAATAATTATTAAGTCTTATTGCACTGTGTGGTTTCGTAATATTTGACTATTGAATTAAACCAATGAATATTGCTCTTGTTCTCGACGTCTATATGAGTTTGAAGGTTCATTATTTAATTGATTCGATGTTATTCCTCTATTAAAAAAAATATATATATTAAATATAATATTATTAATCAATCAAACCTTAAACATGCATAATGTTGATCATATGTTGCATATAAATGTTTATCATGATCGTCACTTGTATTCGCTGATGATGGCCGATCAAATAAAAATCCATGAAAATGACATCTAAATAGAAATTTAAAGTAAAATCTCATGTGTTTTAATTGAAATATAGATAATTTTACTTTCGAAATGAATGTTTTATAATTGGACTTTGTGTATAAGATGAATGAACACCGGAATCAGCTGATGATGAACTTTGATCAGCTAATATGTGATTATGATTAGAAATTTTTTTTGTATTAAGTGTTGTTTGTTTTGATGATGGAACATGTGTAAATGCAGAAAAAAGTTCACCTTGAGATGATGAAACTGTTGAAAGAACACTTGATGGTGCTTGAAAAGATTGATACTGATTGGATAATATACATGTAGTAGTAGGTATTTGTACAAGTGGATTACGTTTTAAAGATTCTTGATTAGCAAGTGCAGAAGATTCAAGAATTATTGGACGAAAATATCGCTCAGAAGGAGTTGTAGATGGACGAAGATCTATATATATGAGAAAAAAGAATAGGCTATTAATCATGACATTTATAGCGTTAATGTATTTCCTATATGAAAAGATCGTTCATTTCCAAGGATCTATATAAGACATGTTAGAAATATCATACCTATAGGATCTATAAGACAATGTGCATGTTTATTTTCTCTGAATAAAGATCCATGATCAATTGGATCTTTACAATTCAATGTCCAACCCGTAACTGCATAAGGATTTATATTTCCTTGAGAGTCTTCTAAAATAGAAAAAAAATAATCTATGAAAAAAGGAAAAGTAATCATATTGAATTTACCTGATGCATAACTATATGGTCGATTATTATTTTCTGTATAATTTTCTATTGTAAATTCATTATTACTTTTTAACCATGTACCATGATAATCATGAGGATATGATGAACAAATAACAGGTTTTAATTTTCTTGTTTGTGCAATAAATAAATCAGTATTTTTAAAATGTAAACGACAAAATTTAATCGAAATAAAAATAATAATCGATGAGACAAGTACCAAAATAAATGAAATAATAATAATAATAATAGTAAGATAATAATGTTGTGTTTCAGAATTGAATATATGTTTATTATTCAATGTTCGAAATATAATTATTTTATTTATTTCACCAGCTTGACTATGTACTTTAATTTCTAAATGATAATTTTGATTTGATTGAAGATTAGGAATTTTAAGAATTTTCAAATGATTTTCGAATGAATAATATCGATGAAGACTACGTTCAGTAGAATTATCTATTGGAAATATTTCGATATCGTACGATAGAATTCCACATTGATTAACTTTCCATTTTGACATATTAAGAATAATATAATTATTTGTTATAGTTTCAATTAAATCGTTCGATTGAATTAACGAAGGAGCTATAAAACAGAATTATTATTTTAAAGGACATCAATCAAGAGAAAAATACTCTGCTTAGCAGAATACTCGATTAATCAAAGATTCAAGTACGATAGAATGGTAGACGCAAACTAATATTCAATGTTTTTACCTGAACCATCAGTTTTTCCAATTAGATATTCACTTGAACTAAATCCCACTTGATTTTTTGCATATATCATTATATCATATGTATTTCCACATGAAAGATTTGTTAATCGAATATTTAACAATGGTGGAAACAGATGAAATTCATTTAAAATTAAATTCTCTTTGGATTTATAGGTTACTATTAAAGTTTCGATTATATCAGATGGATAATCAAATTTTATACCAATTTCATTTGATGTTGTATAATGAATTTTACCATGAACAGAAGCTGGTTTATCTAAAACAAAAAATTGTTTTTTGTGTTCATCGAATATAATAAAGAAGATATTCGCTATACCATATAATTGGATTTGATATTGTGTTGATCCACACTGATATTGACTATGATTATCATCTAATTTCAGATCGGTAATATAAAGAGAATTATTACTTAAAACATATCGATCAATTGATTTTTCACTAAATAGAATATGAAAGAAAATAAATAATGAATAAAATTCGTATATATATGATCGTACCTATTTAGCCAAGATTTCGTGAATGGACAATTGAGTAAAAGTGGTTTGGTTATTGGATGTATAACTGTGATAGGCGTATCGGGATCTATAAAAAATAAAATATAGATAATTATATATATATACTATCAATAATTTACTTGAGAATGGTGTTTCAATATGAATAGCTTTTGATGATGGACCACAATCGAAATAATTACAAATAGCAACTGATATATAATACTGTGATGATGAATGAAGATTATGAAATATCAGATTTGAATTAATTGTTTCCATTGTTATTAATGTTGACATATCTAAAATAGAATTTTGTTTTGTAATAAGAAGATTTTTGTTTTCCAAAAAAAAATATTTACTAAAATATTCATAAATAGTAACTGCAAATGTTCGAAATTTTCCATTAAGAAATTGAATATCATTATTTTCAAATGTCCATGTAATATTAACAGTTGAAGTGTTTAATAAAGTTGCTTGTAAATCTTCTATTATTACAAGTGGAACTGAAAACAAAAACAGATCTCTTTCTTTTCATTTAAATAATATAAGACACATACCACTTTCTAATGTTTGTATAGTTAATAATTGAGATTTAGGACTTGATCCTAATTCATTTATTGCATAAACAATAAATGTATATTGTGTCGAACTTTTTAAATTCTCAATCATAAATACTGTTGAATTATGTTGATATGTTTGAATAAGAGTTTGATTATATGTATCGATTAATTCAATATTATATTCAATATTGAAATTATCACATAAATGAAATAATGAATACTAAACAAAATTAAAATTTTATTATAGTTTATCCTTGATTTAGAGTTATAGAAATTGACTCGACATTCGGAAGCTTTAAAATATATTTAATGCACTAATCTCAAGTACTTCTATATATAAATACCATTATCTAATTATATTCAAAAGGATTTTGACATTGATTTTATCATGTCACATATAGTTTATATCTAGTCTACTCAAAGACAAACATATAAATAAAATTTTACATACCTCCCATGATAATATCACACTTTTCGATGTGATATTAACAGCAATAAGATTATTAGGTGCAATTAACAGTTCTATAAAAGAAAAAGAAGATATAAACAATGCATGTTTATTAATTGATTATTTACGTTTTGTATTTGTTTGAAAATGAAGAGGATTACTTGGCAATGATGAACCAATTATATTAACCGCTTCAATCGTTATTGATATACTACATTTTGAATAGAAATTATCAAATGAATAACTTGTGATATCACTATTATTAATCGTAATAATTGTTGCATTTGACCATACAATTCCTTAATTAAATATATATATATAAAATAATTTCGAAAATAATTCTTTTTACCTTGTTTATATTGAATTCGAAGAATATATTTTAAAATTTTTGCATTTCCATCATATGGTTTGAACCAAGAAATTCGATTTGAATTTTCCAAAAATATATTTTCCATTCTATTCGGAATATTCTGTACAATTATTTCGAATATCCCATGATCTTGTGAATAATTATTTTTTGCATTACATTCATATATACCATTATCAGACATTTGAATATTTGTTATTGAATATGCTAAGGTTTTCTTATATTCACTTTTGGTTTCAATCATATGAACATTTTTCAATGATGGTGTTTGCAATTTTAATTGAAAATCATTATCACCTTCACCAATACAAAATATATCCAATGTTTCATTTATTTTTATTGTTCGATTTGTTGTTAAAGATAATATTTTAGCTGGAATTTGTATTGTTACATAAACTAATGTAGAATATTCACCATGGGAATTTTTTGCTTGACATGTATAGATATTTGATTTTGTACTCATTGTTGTTAATAGAATTGGTGATGTTAATGATGTATTTAGGATTTGCTTCGTTGTTTCATCAATCCATTTCAATTGAAGATTTGGTTGACCTGATGCATAACATGTAAGAGTATATTGTTTACCAATTGATATAGTTTGATTTGATATAGATTGAATAAATGGTTG